GTGAAGCAGCAGCATATAGCTGCTGCTGTTAAATAAAAAGCCAATGTTAATGATGTTATTTTCAGTATTCTTCATGCACGGGTCAGGGAGAGCAACCTGACAGAGAGGTCACTGTCTGAACACTGACTTAATGTTTCTTTGGACACAAATTACTGAAAAGGAGACTTGAAAAGGTGGCCTCGAGAAGCAGGGCTGACCATACTGATGCCACCATGCAGACACACCTAAGGCTCCAAGCGCGAACAGTCACAGCCCGGCGAAGCTGGCTACTCCTGCAGTGTCCTCACGCAGCAGCTCAGCCAGGAGCCCCGACCTCTGCCCGGAGTGCAGGTCAGGACGGCGCCCGAGTGTTGGCTCTGGGCCTCAGAGCTCGGGTGACCACAGTGGCTCCGTCTGTCCATCCATGAATGACAGGTGACAGTGACGCCTACTCAAAGCGCCATGCGCACGTTGGAGAGCATTTGACAGACTGCTGCACAGGCGTTATGCAACAAATGATTTAAGATTTTAATGAATCTTCTGAATTATCAAATATGAAATTATACTCAATGGAGCCTTAAACATGAGCACATTTGCACACACCCAGATTCCCTGCTCCTGTCATTTGTTTTTGCTGCAGAAAGTAACAGGTACACTATTTTGGGAAGACATACCATTTCAGGCTCTCTTGTCCTACTTCCGGTCCACCATTAACACTCAGCCAAGAGGTTGGAGACAGGAAGGAGGGCATGGCACAAGGGGATTAAACAGAAGCCGGAAGCTTCCGCCCCAGTGGTTGTGAGGAGTTAAAAGGGGGAAATAGGATTGGGGATGTACCTCTATGTTCTCAGGTGCACCTCGACATTCTAGTGGACTGATGCGAAGCATGACGTGAGTCAGATGGGTGTGAGGGGTTCTGGCCTCACTCCCCACGACAGAGTGGGCTTATGCTGATCCGACTGGAACCCTGAATAGGACACAGAACCATGACCAAATAAAAAGGTCTTACTCATGTACCTGAGGCTTCTTCAGCACCTGGTGGGATGTGCTGAGTTGAGCCAGGAAAGGGCCAGGGGCCACACATGGTGGCAGATAGAAGGCACAGCTGGGGTTCCGGGGAGCCTGGAGAACCACGAGAGCTGGTCTGAGGGCAAGTCAGCAGGCACGTGGGTCCCTGAACACCTGATGACTGGGTAGGGACAGAGCATTGGCCAAGAAGGCCTGGACTTTGGCGAAAATCAACTGATGGCTGAATTTGTTTTTAAACTACAAATTCTGAAAATGAAGTAGGTTCATTGAAATAAAAAACCTCAAAACATTAACTCTAGACCAGGGACAGTAGAATAGCGAGCTGTCAAAGGCTACTGAGCAATTAGCCCAGAATGCAACAAGGAGCAATCAAGAAACCAACAGTGTCTAAGAGAGGGTAAGAGACACGGTGGTCAGCTGAGGAGCCCCTACGTGCCTGACAGGTGCACGAGAAGTAGGGCAAAGCCGGGATGGCTGAGGATTTTCCCAAACTGAAAGCTCGCTCCAAGGAACCAAATGGAAGCAGCAAATCCCAGGTGCTGTAACGACCCAAAGAACGTCAGGGAGATGAGAAGACCTTAAAGGTGTCAGGTTGAGAGATGGGTCATCTACATAGAAATATTTCTCACCAGCTGCTAAAAATGTGAAAAAATACGCAGTGACGCTCAATGAGTTGAGGAAAACTGTCAACCTAAACAGTTTCCCTTGAGACCAGAGGGCCAGCCGTCCTTGTTAGGAAGCCAAGAAGAGAAGCTGGGGATGTTTATCCTATAGGGGCCCCATCAGGTATCAACAGCAACAATTATCCAACTGCTCAGCCTCTCTCAGTAAATGGCAGGTACCACTCAGGAGGGGCAAGGGGATGGGGCCAGAGCCCAGCTTTCTCCTCCAGCCCCAGGAAGACCAGAGAGAAGCGGGAAGACCCCAGGGCTGAAGGCAGCTACCTGGGAACAGTGCAGATGACAAGGCAGTGGGGGAATGCAACGGCGTGAGGCCCTAGGCTGGCAAAGACAGGGCTCTCAGCCATGAGAAGTGGGATCAGGGCCCTCACAGCAAGCACTGGGTCACAGGGAGGTTCCAGAGTCTGCACTGGTAAGGGCCCTTAGACTTCTTCTAAGATCTCAAGTGACAGGGCTTTGTAAGTAAAGTGAGGCAGTTGGGAGCCTAGTGTATGAAATTCAAGGAACCATCTTCCAGCAGCCAGAGAGCAAACCCAGTCTCCGTCTGGGCCTGGGTTATCCAGCGTCACCACCGGAGAGCGTCACCTGCATGTTAAACCCACAATCACTTCTTTTAACCTGAGGAATATATTATTGTGAGGTGGTTTTTCTCTAACTTGCTGGCCAGTGTTTTAAAATTATTTTTTAAATTCTTAGGAATTGACATTTTCTGTTATGAACCCAAGGCTGGAGAAAAGCAGCAGCAGTCCAATAGCAAACTGGTTAGCAGGGGAAATTCTGGGACAAAAATTCCAAACCACCCAGAGAGACTGAAATGTGCCTGTCACTAACTCTGTCACCGCTGAAATTAGGAACACATAACTATTTGATCAACACAGTGTTGATTTCCACCCCCAGCGGGGGCCTTCCACAAAACTGGAGCCTTTTCACTTAAATTCAAATACTCTGGCACATGAAACCCACCCTGAGCACTTTATTCAAAGCCACACGACCACTAGTTAACATCAGCATGGCTGCTGTTCGCTCCCCCCGAGGATCTACGTTCGGGGCTCTCCCCTGCATTGTTGTTTGAAGTAATGTTTGAAAACCCAAACCTTGGAACCGCGAGAGCTCTCACAGGGTCACTGATGAAAACCACACACCCATTCCTTTGCTGCTTCCGGTCCTGCTCGTGTCTGTTAATTCCATCGACTTCTATGAACCCAAACTGCATTTTTTAACATCATGTCAGGCTAGAATGTCTTCCTCAAATAATATTTTGTTGTTCAAGATAAAAGTAATTGAATAAAATAAACAGCACCTCTATTTTCTGAGGGATACTTTTAGGGAAAATATCTCACATTGTTTTCGGGTATAAAATGTCACTGAATGAAAAGGCCACATTCAAGTATGTTCAGTGAAACTTCATTAAATACAATTCAATAATGGGAGCATCTCTTTAGTATGAAATAACTTTAAATATTTTACGCATCTTTGGCATGAGCCGCCTCTCTCTCCTGAACCGCCTTGGTCACATGAGTGGGGCTGCAGAGACGGGGTCCTGGAGGCGCCCGGCTGAGGCCGGGGCCCAGCCTCCCCCGTGGCTCACCCCTCAGCTCACTCGCTCGGCCTGAGTCCCTGACAGTAACACTGAGGACGAGCCTGCCCGGCTTCCTGCACCACCCGCCCGCCTACTCCCTGGTCTCCCTGCACAGGTGCCGAGGCCTTGGGAAAGGGAGAGGGACCCAGAGGAGCCGCAGACAGTGGCCATGACTCTGCATGTGCCGCACTTACAGGCCAGGCAACGGCCTGAGTGACTCATCATCGCATCCTGTGAAGTTTGTAAAGCCACGTCATGCCCATCTTGTAAGTGAGGAGTTGAGACTAGAGAGGTTAAGTGCCTTGTCAAGATTACCCAGCTGGCAATCTCTCTGGTGAGTGGAGGGCTGGGGTTCAGACTGGCAGGCTGGCTCAGGGTTCACTCTCTTAACCACTAACTCCCTTCAAAGTGGTTTGTGACAGTTTTCCTAATTTCAAACTGGGTACAGATCTGGGATGCCAGAAAAGCTGAGGGCTTCCAGTTTGGGAAATGCTTCAATCGTGGAGCTCGCCCCGGAGCACACGGCATGTAGCGGCAGGCCTCCCGTTCTGCTCGTCCATGAGCCTCCTGGAATGATGAGGAACTCCCTCCAAGATGTACCTGAATGTACCACCCTGGGTTTTTAAATGGAAGTGTCTTTATCTCACTATTAAAACCAAAGTGAAAACACCAGATCACTCCTGCACGTTCACAGCACTGAACATTTCTCAGTGCACTTTCACAGTGCTGCGGGGTCTGATCTTCTCAAATCACAGACACACCCAGGGGCAGTCTTAATATTCCCATTTTACAGATGAACTGAGGTTCAGAAAAGGTCAAGTGACTTTCCCCCAGTCAAAAGTGGAGGAGTCCACACCAGACCCAAGCCTTCAAACTTCTACTCCAGGGCTGCTATTTTTCTATTTGGCCAGATATAAATTAATTTCTAGCAGTTATGATGCTCCTTGTATTTTTGCAAAACTTACCATCTGGTGCTGACGTGACAGACATGTGACCACAAAAAGGGGGAATAAAGAAACTGAAATTGTAATTAAGAGGTAAAAGAAAGCAATGAGAAGCAGAAAGAATATAGTTTCTAGAGAAGGTATTATATATAATACACAGAAACTTAAAAAGGAGCTTCACATTAAGATCACCTCTAATCTCTGGTATGTTTTTCTTCCATATACACCATGCCTGACACTCATGATTTCCCACAGAGTAGAATTCAACTAATTCTGTCTAGTACTACAAAAAAGCATAACTTACACCACCACCCTCCCTACCCCAAAACAAGAGAAAAGAAAAATAAGTTAAAAAGCCAATACCTCTCAGGGTAGACTTTGTATTTATCTTTGTATGGGGTCACAATAATCACGATATAATTTTAAATCAGGACATGCTGTATACCTTTTAAAAATAACTCTTATAATTAAGCATTAATCAGTTGGTAATTAAGAACATTGAAGTAAGAGTGCACCCAGCCCTAGGTCCAACAGGCCTTCCCAACTATGAAGCTCTGGTTCTCCTGAGGGGTTCCAAACACAGAGGCATCTGCTTTTCTGACTCCAGGGCCCACAGTTTATGTAGTATGCAAGCACATCTACATGTTCCTGCTGTAAGGGCGTGTCCCTACCATACTATATGTGACATATTAATGACAACACTGTGTCTCTGAACAGTGCATCCAGCAGTTCATGGTAGACTTCGAGAAAAGAGGAAGTCAGAGATTCAGTATCCAAACGTGCACATACCTGGGAGAGGGAGTCGTGCCCCTGTGTCTCACATACAGCCCGCAGCCCATCAGTCACTGAAACACCCAGAGGGCCTCATGACAGTGTGCCCCTTCCAGAGGCGGAGGCCTGGTCCTGGAGAGCGACGGACTGGCACCTAGGAAACAGGGCATCAGTCCACCCCTCTTTAAGACAGCATTTTAAACAAATTAACCCACATACTTAGGTAGTTCCTGATTCTTCTTATGTCATTCACTGGGCACCAATGAGGTTACCAGAAATAAATGTTTATGGCAAGTACTGTAATGTATGGGCTCAGGGCAAAACTGGGGTAAGAGGGCTGGGCTAGACTCCTGGTTGCAGTACTGCCTTACTGTGTGATTGGAGGGTGAGGGATTCTGTGATCTCTCAATCCCGTGTTCTTCCCGTGTATGAGGAAATGCCAGGGCTCAGTGCTTAGAACAAACGCTGGGGTCAGGTGGCCAGGAATGTGACCCCAGCGGGTTGCGGGGCCTGTGCCTGGGGCCTCATGGAGTGTGATGTACACACCCTACTGGGTGGATGGGAGGGTTCGGCTCATTAATGCCAAGTGCCCAGAACAGGGCCTGCATCATAGAGGGCCACCCAAATGTTACTGCAGCTGTATTTATCATTATCTGCACACAAGAATACCTTGTGCATTGTTGTGAGAAGAAAATGAAATATGATATTATAGTACTTCCCACATGTTTATTTCTGTACCTTCACATACTTTCATTTAAATTAAGCTGCCTAATGAACATAAAGCACAAAGGTCAGGTCTGGTTCATCCAGGCACTCAGTGAATGGTAGCTATTTAATTTTAATTGTAATAAATACATGTATATGTGGTAACACAGTTCTCCTAAACATTAAATTTTGGAACCAATATTGAAATCTAAGACTGTTTTCTCATTTCCCTATTTCTGAAAATGTGCATCATGTGCTTACATGTGACTGATATGCATCTGCCTTGAGCACATTTCAGGCTGTTTCTGGACGTGTCAAGACCTAAAAATACTGAACTCAATAAATATCTTGGCCAGGAACCAATACGTGATCCCACTGGGCTCTTCTAAGAAGAAAGTGAAATGTACAATAAATAGGCAGCCAGTGAAAAAGGAATAAACGTTTTGATTTGGTTACCTTCAATCCCGGTTTTTAAATTACCCAGGAGACTCCTGTCATATTTCAACATACCGGGTGCTGTAAAAGCAGACAGCTTAAACAGTGTTTATTTCGGTCCCCGTTTCCCAACTACACTGCTGGAAAGTGGAATATATTTAACTTTGGTGTAAACAAGAGCGGTGTTTTAGGGGGAAATATAGGAAATGAGATCACTTGATAGCTGATTTGACGAGGGAATTTTAATGTTATACGGAGATATTTTTGAACATATTTTTTTCAGTGAGAAAAACAACCGTGTAAAATGCACCAGATCAAAGCTCACCTGTTGCTTGCTTGCTGAAAGCCTCCTATAGCTGAGGTTATCCGCCCTCCCCCCCCCAGGGTGAGCACGGCTTGCTCCCTCTCCACCCCGTGTATAACACGGAAGCTGGGTGCTTACCACAAGCCTGTTACATCACTGTAGTTCCCTTAATAATTAAAAATCTCATCAGCACATGAATGAGTATCCACTGTATTCCATGTGCCAGGCACCGTGCTAAGTGTTCTGCACTCACCACCTCATCTAATCCCTTCAACAGCCCAGGGAGGTAAAACATACTTCCATCCTGGTTTGACAGATAAGGACACTGAGTCAGAAAGAAGCGGGAACACAGAAGCTTAGGGAGGAGTGACTAACTGCCCCAGATCATATGACTAGTGAACAGTAATGCAGAACCACACTGGGCTATCTCCCCAGTAAGTGTATGAGAAAACTAAACTTACTTCCCTTGAAAATTCATTCATGCACTCATTCCACAAATAGTTACACTGCTTGTGCTTGATGCTACAGGGGATCAGAGAAAAATCAGAACCATAAGACTTCACGGTCAAACTGAATTAGGAAGATAACAAAGTTCATTAAAAATTAGGTCATCTGTCAAGTAACGAATGCCAATTTAGAAATGGGCCAGACAACCACTTTTAAAACACAAGAAGGTAGTTAAAGAAAGGAATATACACTAAGAAGTCAGAATCTTTCTAATGAGGGAGGGTAACTACTGCTCACAACAGAATCTCAACTGTTCTAACAGGTCTTAAGTTTAAATTCCTCATACTTCAAAGAAAGCAGGACTCACAGGAAGACCAATGGCAGATAACCTTTCACCACTAGCACTGATGCCCCTGAAATCAAGGAAAAGAAAGAAGATAAAGCTAGAACCTCAACCCTTTGAACCAAACAACTTTTGTCAGCATTTTTTCTTTGGAAGTGTAGTCTGGCCAAACCTCTGAATGCTCACAGCTCATAGCCTCTGCTGTAATTCACTTCTTGCCATGAATGATAAACATTTGCATATGCATATTACCTACTCTGTCAGATGAAAAGACCTTTAAAAATAAGGGCTTTACTCATTGACTTCAAAAGGAGTGGAAAGAAGTAATTACTCCCTTATTTTCCCAAAGTGATGGAATTGTGCATAAAGGTGATGCTCAATAAATGATCATTTAATATGGAGTAAGTGAATGAATAAAATGTGTAACCTTGCCATTCTGGGGCCTCCAACACAGGTTCCACATGAGTATTAACTCACCTGAACTCACAGCAAGCACTCACGACTGACACATACATGCAGGGCCCTCCTCCACATTCAGACCGGGAAACAATATGGTTATGAAGGCGATTCCACCCAAATTGATTTACAGGTTCAATTTAATTGCTATCAAAATCATGGCAGGCATTTTTGTAGAAATTTACAAGCTGATTCTAACATTTATATGGAAATATAATGGATGTAATAGCCAAAACAACTTTGAAAATGAAGAACAAAGTGGAGGACTGACACCATCAGATTTCAAATCTTACCATAAAACCACCATCATCAAGATAATGTGGTGGTGACATAAGGACAGACACAGAAACAGTGGAGTTGCAGCTCAGAGCCCAGAAATAAGCTTTTACATTTATGATGAATTGATTTTTGACATAGGTATAGAGGCAACTCAATGGAAAAAGGATGGTCTTTTCAACAATTGGTATTCGGACAACTAGACAGAAAAATAACTTTATTTTAAAAACCCCTATCTTATGCTATACACAAAATTAAGTCAAAATGGATCATAGACCTAAATATAAGAGCTGAAACTATAAAATTTCAAGGATAAAACATCTATGATCTTGGATTAGGCAAAGCTTTATTAGATATGACACTAAATGGATTTCATCAAAATCAAAGAACTTCTGTTTTACAAAGGACATCATTACGACAATTAAAAAAAAATACAGACTGGAAGAAAATATCTACAAATCATATATCTGAAAAAGGACTCATGTCCAGACTATGTAAACAACTCTTTCAACTCAATAATAAGACAGACAAACCAATTAAAAAATGGGCAGAATATCTGAATAGACATTAAGAATACACACTATGGGGGCAGAGCCAAGATGGCGACGTGAGTAGAGCAGTGGAAATCTCCTCCCAAAACCATATATATTTTTGAAAATACAACAAATACAACTATTCCTAAAAGAGAGACCAGAAGACACAGGACAACAGCCAGACCACATCCACACCTGCGAGAATCCAGCGCCTCACGAAGGGGGTAAGATACAAGCCCCGG